AAAAAAAAAAAAAGGGCAGGCGCTGACCTCCAAAAAAAAAAAAAAGTAATTTTATTGGAATACAAGACTTTTTTCGTTTCGGAATCTGAATAGAAACGGTACATGTTGTGTTCGAATGCAAAGTGTACGTTGTCTATTCGAGGTCCTATGCTATTCGATGAAAGTGGACCTGCGCCTTTTCAATTTCCGAAAAGGCTTAAGGACGGCGGCCTCCTCTCGGCCTCCTACGGGCAGGTACCGGTCCTACACGTTCTTGGCCCTTGCAAGGCCCCAAAACCTCAAATGCCCACCCTCCCGACGACCACCGTTGAAATTTGACGTTGAACGTTGAAATGTCTCAGGGGGGGAAAGCGCATCCCTGACGGGCTGCGAACACTCCTTATGAGTTCCTTACACTCCAAGGAATTTTCCTTCTGGCTCGTAAGGGAATTTGGGCTCTTCGTTCCACCTGTCCTCGGGGACGTCGCCCAAGGACATTTCCTATGCCTGATGTCAGAAAAAAAAGAAAAAAGAAAAGAAAAACAGTTGTGCTTCAGGCCTTCAGCCAATAGGGTGCCGCCACGATCCAGATTCTCAGCTGTAACGTCTATCTACCCGTGTGCCCTCTCCTCTCCGTGAAACGCGGATTCCTTGTGCCCAAGGGACCTCACGAGGTCCCTTGGGCACAAGGAAGAAATGGCTGGGGCCACAAGGATGCCACAAGGAATTTTCCTGGTGGCGTTTTCACATTTCTTTTTCAATTTCGTCCCCAAGGACAGGTGGAACGAGCGCGTCCTTGTGGATTTCACGTCCCCAAGGAGTGTCTAACGGCGCCCTTAGATTTTTTTATAGCATAGAAATATTTACAATAGTTGAATAGTATAAAAATCTGAAAGGATTTCACACTGCACGTGTCCCAGTCCTGGTCCCAGAAGGTTCCAGTCCCAAGTCCCAGGTCCTAATCCCATGTCCCATCCTGTGTTCCATTGGCCGTTCCAGCCACTCGTACTACATTCACCAATACTCCAGAAGAGCAGTTTTCGGTTGTACCATGACTGCAGAGGCCTAGGTGGGCTTGTTAAACCACCAGCACTTCCTAAGGTCGTGCCCGTTAACAAGCCGCGACTCTAGGAAATGTAGGTGTCACTACAGAAGCGCCCAAATTCATCCGACTAGAAACCTTTCTAGTACTTTCTACCCTATTTTTTCCCACAGCCGATAGCTGGGCCAAGTACTGGTGGCTTAAGTACACCGTGGTTGGAAGTACCTGGTAGATAACAGTGAAGGGTTGACGAGTCTGTCTTTAGAAGGCACCATAAACTTCAGCCAGAATCAGCAGAGTCATTAGGCCAGGTGTCATTCAATCCACCAGAGCAGCCAAATCCAAGAAGAGTTCGCTAGCTTCCAGAAGCAGGATACAAAGGCAAGGGGACCAACCCATAACCCATAACGGTGGCTCAGCAAGTATAACAGCCTAGTTGCAGCGCACCTCGGTGCACGGATTTGTGCACGCGTTGCACACCGCGCAGCACACCGAAGCGCACCGCACTGGAAAAATTAGGTCCAAAAAAAAAAAAAAAGAGTCCGGCTCCACTACTCACCACATACACGAAAGACATAGCATATGGCGGCGTACGGTTTCATGTTTTAGCAGAAGATTCATTTTACTAATGTTATATACATTTGGTGAGTGGTGGAGGGAGGCCTGATGATCACGCGGAGACACGAACAGGGTCTAGCTGAATTGGTGGCCCATAACTGCCGAGCTACAGGGCTCTCTCTCTCTCTCTCTCTCTCTCGCGTGCACGCGCACTGGTGTGCTGCAACTATGATAACAGCCCAGCAGCATATACAAGCAGGCTCGTCTGTTCATGCGCAAGTTGCGGAAGCGCTCCTGGTTGCTTGTGCAAGAGTGCGGCGTGGATCAAAGGTGGGCACTGCAGGAGGAGCGAGTGCCCGGCAGGGAAGAAGACATTTGGTTACCATAGCTCGGGCTAGGCGGTTGAGGAAGAAGGCGGCCATAGCCACGGAGGCCAAGGGTGGAACTACGTGGGTGTATTCGGGGTGCGATCCAAGCGAGTAGGGTGAGAGAGAGTGGTGAGGGGAGTGATCGAAGTACAGAGAGTCAGCGAGGTTGAGCGATACAAGCCAGGGGGGAGAGAGAGAGAGAGAGAGAGAGAGAGAGAGAGAGAGAGAGAGAGAGAGAGAGAGAGAGAGAGAGAGAGAGAGAATGNCACGGAGGCCAAGGGTGGAACTACGTGGGTGTATTCGGGGTGCGATCCAAGCGAGTAGGGTGAGAGAGAGTGGTGAGGGGAGTGATCGAAGTACACTCTCTCTCTCTCTCTGAGCGATACAAGCCAGGGGGGAGAGAGAGAGAGAGTGTGTGTGTGTGTGTGAGAGAGAGAGAGAGAGAGAGAGAGAGAGAGAGAGAGAGAGAGAGAGAGAGAGAGAGAGAGAGAGGAGGCGCGACCGTTGCAGCGGAGCGGTGGCGACGGCAGGAGTCGACGATGGGCATCGTGGCGTCAACGAAAAAGCGGCGGTTGGAAGTGGCAAGTGGAGGCGGGAAGTGGCGGGACAGCACGGCGGAGGGAGTCTGGGGGACGACCCTCAACCCCGCACCCCCAACCCTAGACCGCAGACCCCCAACCTTCAACCCCACAACACAACCCTCAACCCCACACCCCAACCCTCAACCCCAGACCCCCAACCCTCAACCACATCACACAACCCTCAAACCCACACCCCAACCCTCAACCCCACACCCCCAACCCTAGACCGCAGACCCACAACCCTCAACCCCACCACACAACCCTCAACCCCACACCCCAACCCTCAACCCCAGACCCCCAACCCTCAACCACATCACACCAGCCTCAACCCCACATGCCAACCCTCAACCCCACACCACCAACACTCAACCCCACACCACCAATCCCCTCCCCTCCCCCCCCAAATGCGCACGAATGGAGTGCGCCCCCCCAAAGCCCCCACCCCGCGCGGCCCCCCGAAGCGCGCTCGTTCATTTTTTTCCTGTGCGCCGCCCCGTGGCGCGTTTAAGCACGTTTGAACGCAGACGCGGGAGAATTGAACGCGCGTGTTTGTACACGAACGCGCGTTCTTCACGTTCTCTTGGCAACACAGTATAATACAATCACTGTTGCACCTCTTTGGTGTGCTGTTTTGGGTTTCGTCTCTTGGTTTCTGGTGTGAGCTCTCATGTGAGTGTTCAGCGTGTGCATGTTGAGTTCAGTGTGGATTTGAGAGGTTCATTGCAAATCTAAAGATTCTAACCATTTCTTATTAAAAAAAGTACTACCACTTTTCCGCATATCCACCACACCCTGCACCGTTGTGAGTAACCTTTTTTTCTTCTTCTTCTTTTTTAAAAATTTATTGAAAATGCTCACACCATAACTCCACATTATGTACTGGCAGTTACCCTACCCTGCCTTAAAAGAGCGTCGGTGTCCCGCTTGTGGACCGACCGAGTTGTCAAAACATTCGTTGAAAAAGTTGTCAAAAAAGTTATCGAAAATAACCGTCGACGTTTGTGGACAAATCTGGAGGGAACCCTACCTGCATGCCACAAATTCGGAATCCCAGGCTCTCTTGCGTAGTGCCCGTATCTCGTTTTCTGCATAGATGGAGTAAAAGAAAGCCACGGCAAATTTTGTTGAGTCAATCGTAGACTCCGCCCGCTGCAATGAACCTCGCAAGAAAGATTCAACTAAAAAATACAACATGCAAATTGAGAGCATTCAGATAAAGCTCACACGTGCTTGAGCTATGGCCATGAACGGTGCAAATTCGAAGTTCCAGTCAAGTGCAATAATATACAATTGAAAAAGTTTTGGGATTGAGCGGTCTGCACCGCCGTAGCACGTCTCCGGTAAGTACCTGGCTCTTCCCCCTTCAATCTGCTCTCTTCTTGCCACTTGCTCTCTCTCTCTCTCTCTCTCTCTCTCTCTCTCTCTCTCTCTCTCTCTCTCTCNCTCTCTCTCTCTCTCTCTCTCTCTCTCTCTCTCTCTCTCTCTCTCTCTCTCTCTCCTGTTCATCCCTCGATGCTCCCCGCTATCGTTCCTCCCTCTACAATGTCCCAGATCTAGCCTGAATGCCTCTACGTAGTGTCTTACAGCGTACGGCCTGTTATGGCTGCCCAACACTTTGTCTCCTCCCTCCTGGCTATGGTGGTCGGTCGCGGCCAGGGTGCTGGTCTTCTTCCTCCCTTCAGCGGTCTTCTTCGTCCAGGTCGCTAGTCTGCACAACCTCAAGCAGCGCTTCCACAAATTTGTGAAACGAGCAACTGGCTGTCCTCCGGCACCGTAGCCCAAAATATATAGTTGCAGTTGGCTGTGTGTGCCTGCTTCAATCGGGTCCGGCCTCCTTCGGCCTCTGCTTTGCCAAGTTGCTATTTTGGGAAGTTCCGGGCTTTCTGGTGAGGCTGCTGCAAAACTGGACTTTTGGGGACTTGACGTGCTCCTACAGGTGTTGTACGGTACCGTAGACTACCGGCCTGCGACGCCTGGTCCTACAGGCCCTAAGGTTGTAATCTACGGGGCCTTGGACTGGGATAATGCAGAAACCTGTAACCGGGACCGGCAAAGCATGCAGCGTGAATCCCGCGCTGGAAATGCGGAGAAAGGCAGTTACGGCATAACATTTGCAGGACTAATTTTGTAAATGCATCTGAACATAAGGAGGGCCAGGTTCGGCGGAGGAAGTCCTAGTATATATATTATATTTTCTTAATGAGCGCCGGAAAACATGCATGCACATCAGCTTGTCAACCCCATTGTGTCCTGCAAGTGTGTCTTCTGCCAGTGGGGCAATGCAGGTAAAAGTGTTGTGTCTACCCCTACCCTCTTGTTCCTCTTCCCTTGTGCTTCTGCTCCTAGTTTAAATTTAGGCTTATGTGCGACACATCACTCACATGCGATCCTCGCACCTCGCTCCTAAGGAAAAAACAACCTGATTGAGACACTGAGACATGATTCGGCTTCCAATAATCAATTCCTAAGCCCCAGAGACCTCCGTATCCGTACACTTCACCAACCCGACACCGTCCAACGCCAGCTTTCGCCGCGGTCCAACCCTACCGGTAGTTTCAGACCACAGCGGTACCTCTCCAAGCGCTTGCCACTGAAGAGGGTCGCTGGCAATGTCGCGGCATCCACGAGAGAAGGAATTGTTTGTTTACCCTTTCCCGTGCACACTCTCCGTGTAATAACCATGGCTACGTCGGACCTGTACGTACACCAGACCACTACAGAATGTCAGGCCGGACTTCTGTCTGGATGGCTCTGGACCGTTCGGATTAACAGAATATCGTCTGCAGCCCATAAGAAGTCCCTTGCAGATGATGTGTCCACACAGCAGGGAACGCAACTCTCAGGATGAAGGAGGAGGACTCCAACTCGATGAAGAAGAGATGGCTGCCACTTTGGATAGCACTTTCTATGGAGAGCTTCGAAGGCAGCTGTGTCAAACCACAACAGAACAGGAATAGGAGGCACCCTGCACCACTCAGGGCCCTTGCGCCCTTGCACTACCACCTAGCAGCACTTCCCAGCCCAGCCATGGCAATTGGCTCCCTGGCCGTGACGATGCCTCTGCGCAGCTGGAAAAATAACGCAGCAACGTCCAGCGCACTCCCTCCAGCACTTCGTGAAAAAGAATGACGAAAAGAACCCCCCACTTCCTCGGCCTCCGCCTACCTCTACCAGACTTTCCTAGACCTACAACACAGCAGCCACCTACAGACCTATCTGACCGTCCAAACAGCAAACATCTACGGCCAAACAGTCAAGATCTGCCTACATGCATCTGGACAGAAACCTAGACTAAGGGGGCCCAAGGCTAGGACACACAAAGGAAAGACCTACGGCTTACCAGTTTCTTTTTCTCTTTTCTTTTTTTTTCCTTTTTTTTAGGATCAGAAAGAAGGGCAGAAAAGTACAAAACAACAAGGCTGAAAGGCCTCAGACTACGACATAGGGACTCCTACCGACAGGTTCAAGGTTCAATACCCATTAAACCTCAAAAACAGTCAAACACCGCAAACACACTACAGGTCACGGGATCAAGTCCCGCAACGCCCAAAGCAAGGACAACAGCAAACCCAGTTAGAGTACGGCCGGCATGAGAAACTGCAATCCATTGCACAAGAGACCGTGTGGTACGGTGTCCCTGTGGGCAACGTTAAGTCCTTTGAGGCTTTGACAGACCACACAACTCCTCATTTTTATCTCAATGGTTGGTAGTGGGACCAGATTTTAGTCCTTTGAGGCTTTGACAGACCACACAACTCCTCATTTATCTCAATGGTTGGTAGTAGTTGCATACCATCGGCTAATATAGAAGTTTGCCCAAAAAAAAAAAAAAAAAAACTTACGTGCGTCTTCTTGAGGTGGAAGCGACCCACCAATAGACTAGCCTAAGGACGGTATCTGATCATCTTTGATCACCCCCCACCAATAGACTGCAGCAGCCAGCCGGGGGCCTACTTGAAGAGGGTGCTCTAACCACCCCCCCTACTAGTCCGGGGATGACTTAAAAAAAAGAAAAGAGAAATAAAAAAGAGGCGGAAACAACCCTGAGCATGGTGATACTCTCCAAGAATATGAAGCTGCAGCTGCTTGTCCATAGCGCTGCATAGCTGCTGCGCCGCTCTGCGCTCAAGGGAGAACAACCTCCGTTGAATTGTGAGTCGTCTTCCTGGTCTGCAATTGCTTTACAAAATGTAGATGGGATGGGATCTTCCAGATACACTGGTGCAGTTCCGTGTGCGTACTCCTCACCGATCCTCGCTTGGAACAAGATTGCTCCAAAATAGCCTGGTCTTTGAGCCAGCGCATCAGCCACCTTGTTGTCAAGATAACGCTGCTGTGGAGATTTGTTTACCTATTGTGAGAGTGACTGGGGGCTCTGCTTTACCGATTGCTAAGGCAAGATGCTAGATCTGTACACTATTTTGGTATTCTGTTTAGCGAATAGCGTTTTTGATATTTTTTGTGTGCTGTTGCTTACGCATCAGGGTTGTCGATGCATGGGGATGCCTTTGGCGACAAGACGATAGGATTGACAGCAATTTTTGTTATGATCTTTCAGAAGCCCGATGCAACAAGGTAGTTGAGACTGAAAAGGATCTCGATAAGAGAGAAGCAGATAGTATTAGATCCGATTGCACACACACACACACACACACACACACACACACACACACACACAGAGAGAGAGAGAGAGAGAGAGAGAGAGAGAGAGAGAGAGAGAGAGAGA